ACTTGTGCCCACATTACGGATCCAACATTTGTTCTTGTTCAGTTTCATGCCACTGATGATTGCTCAATGTTCCAATCTGCTTAGGTCCCTCTGCAAGGCCTCTTGTCTTTCAAGAGAGCCAACAGCACCTCCCCATTATGTAGCATCAGCAAACCTGCTAATGGTGCACTCAACTCCTGCCTCCAGATCACTGATATATAAGTTGAACCACACTGGCTGTAGAACTGAGCCCTGAGGAACTTGCTGGTGACCACCAGCCAAATGTAACCAGATGTTGATGCCTCATCCTCCGTCTTTCTCCAGCCCTGGGACAAGGGGGATTACCTTATTGCTTCTAGGTATTTTCTCTCTGAGAAGGCCCAACCATGCAGAGAGATTTTCTACAACTCAAAAAGCGGAATAACAGCAGTCAGTAGAAATGGGAATATCCATTCAGAAAGCCACGTTGCTTTTCCTTCGAGCCTATCACTAGAGGACAAGATGCAAAAGATACAAGAACAAGTTACAGCTGTGAGACTTTTGAAGTTGAAAGCTTGAAATGAGTAGGGCATGGGCCTCTGGGTCAGGCTCTTGGTGGTTAGTCTGCTACTCAGCGAAATGAGAGGATTACATCATCTTCTGGTACCTGCTGCCCATCCCCCCTGAAATTTCTGACAGAGGAATCAGTTTCATTCCTGAACAATCTGATTCCTCACTTAAAAAAATAAGGCATGAGTTGGACTGTTGTGGCAAAACAACTCTCATGAATTCTTATGCTGATTATGCTTGAATAGACAAATAGAAGTCATTTATTGGTGTAAAAACTGGAATCTATTAAGAATAACATTAGGGCAACAGCAAAATACAAAAATATGAAAACTCTACTAATTAATAGGATATCGTTACTTAGAAATTTTTCACGTGGCAGCGCTTTCCTCTTTACGTGATCTGATTTTCCAAATAGCTTCAAACAATACATGTTTAATATTATTTTCAGGATAGGTTGCCAAGAATGCAAAGAATTCAAAGAATTATTTGCTGGAGGGAGAGAATTTGTGTTTTGAAAGGGAGAGGGGATTTCTCATGTCTTTAATGCATCCTGCACTTGCATCATCTCTTTATAATTAATAATATCAGTTCCACAGAGCTGTAAGAATGCTCAGTGTATGAAAGAGAACATTACTGAAACAGTACTAGTAACATATGACTTTTGTACCAGAGGAAAACAGACCTGGTAACAAAATATCTCAGGTGAAGGCACCAGCTTCTGTTCCAGATATGCAGGTGGCTTATTTAGCACCATTGGGTAAGCTGCTTACCTTCCATATCACTGAGAGCCAACGTGAAAGTCGTGGACTAGGATCACCAGGATTCCATAAAAAGTACTCTTTGGCTTCCAAGTTTCCCCACTCCTTTTTTGTTTTTATTTAATTAGGAAATTAGCCAGAAATCTTGAAAATTATCATGCAAAGCAGAAGATTAAAAACTCGAAGTGAATTCTTCTCTTTTTCCTGAAGGACACAGAGTACTATGTAAGCTACCTGCAACAGAGAATAGAAATGCTGAGCTACAGAAAAGCTGATGTGAAAGACTGAGGTTAAAAAAATCAGAAAAAGACCTTCACTCTAAGCTGTTGGCTCTTGAAATGCAGACACAAACCAGAGGAAATTCTTCTGCCAAGTAAAATGGCTGGGAAATATGCAGAGTGATCTGCAAAATCTGGTAGTATACAGAATGATGGAAGAATGAACAAAAGAAATCAAATAAAACCCTGAAGGCAGAGAGAGGGGTGTTCTCACCCTACAGCCTGCTCTCCTTTTGCATGCTGACCATTTGTAAGGAGTTGCAGATTTCTCAATTACCAAGTTAAAAAATTGTGATGTTAAAAAGAAATATTGATTTTCTTTCTCAGCCTCTAAGGGTTTTCTCATCTCATTTTCCAGCAGGGAACCTATGAATGGAATACTTAAAAAAAAGCCCCAAACCTTTAGCACTATCAGGAAAGTTCCTAAGCTTTGACACAAAAGAAAAAAACACACATAAAAGAATTTTGAAAAAAACCAATTTATTGTAATTTTATACAAATCAGAACAGTTGTAAAAGAGACTAAATAAAATATCTAAAATAGCAAATTTTCCTAGCAAATTCCTGTGAACCAACATTTAACATATTGCAGCAGAAAATTTTATGAGGCCAGGTTTCTTCAGCAAGCCAAAGAAATGAGTTGGTTTTAAAAGGAAGAGGAAAATAATCTGAGAGTAAAGTGGTTTTGCAATTGGAACCTGAAAAAAGTAGATTCCTACAATGAGATCAAAGGAGAAGTGAACAATTTGACCAATTTAAGCATAGGAAAAGTATAAATTTACAGATATAGAATACAATAGATGAAATAGTTTTAATAAATCTTGGAAAAAATGTTACAAAATTGCAAGCCTCATAAAGTAAAATTATTTAAGAGCTTTAGAAAAAAATACTGCAGGCACATCATATCACAGACCTAAGTTACAAAAACTCAGGTCAAGTATGAATACAACAAAATGCAATAGTGCATATTTGCAATGACTATAGTTATAGTTTCTCTATAGTAAAATCAGGAGGCAGGGTCCTCCCTAGTCTATGCACAAGAATGGAAAAGTAGTTCCCTCTTCATTTGTTAGAGTTTTGGGGGTGTGTGGGTCATAATTTCAATTCTCTGCAATCACAAGGGGTTGAGATGGTCCTGCTCTCACTGCTTCCCACCTACACACCCACTGAGGGTTTCATTACAACTGACTGAAAAAATAAAACAGCAAGAGGAAATATAATTTACTTCCTGCTCCTATTAGTAGATCTTGCACTGCAGGTTTCTGGTAGAGCTGCTAATACCCATGTTTGAGCTCCTGCCTTACAAAGCTTCCAGATGTCACCACTGCAGCCTGCTGGCATCCTGTATGCTGCCTCCAGATGAGCTCCTGACACTCCAGCACTATTTGACCATCTTGTTCCCAACCAAGAACAAGATGACAATTCCATTTTCTTCAGCATTTCTCAAGCAACAAGACAGAAGCGAGAGCAAATCTGCAACTGCGGCCTATTCAGTGAGGCTTTGCTTGCCTATTCCAAAAGACTCAGCTTGGGGATCAGTCACCTTTCACTTGGAGACAAAAATCCGAGGCAGAAGAGTGCACAAAGAAGGCACCAAGAGAAGCTGCCCAGAAAAGCAATCGTGCAGTGATGTCTCTTCATCCCTCATGAAGCAGTTGTCTAATGGCAGCTGCAGCATAGGCACAGATCTGGGGACCAAGGACATGCCACAGGAGGGACAGATGGGGAACCGGCATGTCTTCTACCTCCTACTCAGAGAACAGAAATGACCCCTTTTCCACTCAGCAGCTTTTTGAAAGATAATATGGAAATGAAGTGACATAATTTGCTTGTCTCAAAGCTTTAACCCCTTCTCTTCAGCACCTCTGCAGGTTGTTGGAGAGGTGCAGTCCGTGCCCCACTTCCCATCTGACTGCCACAGCAGGGAAGGGAGAGGAGCCCTTGTGTCCCAGCCCCGTGTGCTTGCAGGCACAACAGCCAAGCAGAGGCCAAGTTGGCAAGACAAGTTGTGGTTTCATCTGCACTGAGGAACTGTGGTTAGGTTTTTGTTGTTTCCCCTGTTTTTAGATTCCTGGTCCTATCCTGTTTGGTTTGGTGAACTCTGGCACATACTGCAGGTGAATCCACTGAAACACAGGCTGTGTTCTTGTTTCAATTGTTATATAACAGTCTCTGCAGTCTCCATGGCTTATTTTGGCCACATGCATGTGCTAAGTTAGAATTACAGGGACAATCACAGAATTGCGATTTAGAAGAAAAATAGCAGAAGACCCTGGTTCTTCAGGTTTTATTGCATTTTAATATGGATTTATAATAAGCATTCTAGGCTATTTTCTTTTTAATTAATTTACTCTATGAATTAATCCAGTTCAATCACTGAGAATATCTCTGCTTCACTTTTGTATAGACTATCACACATTCAATACAGGAGACTACTTTTCAATGCGAACTGAAGGGAAAAATCATCCCTTCTATGCTGACACAAACCATCCCCCATGAATGTAGTGCCAGAGTTGAAAGAAAACCACTTCTCTCAGCATCTTGCAGTTCTGCTTACAGCACAACACTTCCATGTATTTCTCCCACCACTGCTCTCACTGTGGAGAGTGAGACAGTCCCCAGAACACGAATTGCTCAGCTTGGCCCCAAACCCCAATTTGCACATATTCAAGAATAAACAAGACCTTTTCAAAAATCAGTGGATTCTTCATAGCATTTATAGACAAGAGATGATGGTCCCTCTTCCAAAAAGGATGCTGAGTCCTTTAAGTGGTCATTACTATAAAAATATTCCACATCAAACCCCACCACCCGGTTTTCCAGAAACCTTCTTCTCCATCCCAGTGTAGTATGCTGGTATTTAATTTCTCTGTCTGCTTCCCAATAGGATGTATGGAGAATCTAAGAAATTGCTTGTGTGCCTATTCGTGTCTCCATTCAGCACTATATCCACTCTTCTTTACTTCCTCTAGCATTTAACAGGGTAGGATAAAGAGACGCGTACGGCATAAAGAAATATTTCTCCCCTTGCACTGCTGTGGATTTGCTTTCTGTTTGCTTGCTTGGCCTGAAGGAATTTGTCTCAAGTACGGTTTTGGACAAGTAGCTGCGTTAAGCTCTATCCATACCACTTCAGGACAGAGATACAATGTCCAAGCATGAGCTTTGGAGCAAGGATCACTGCATTAAGTAATGAGAGATTTTAATGGCTCCAAAGCCAGAGAAGTGAAATGGTGCATCTCCAACACAACTGATGCCTTTCCTATTTTAAAATAGAAAATATTAGCAAGTTACCTGGTTTAAGAGCATCAGTTCATAGAAGAATTGGGTATCTACTGTACTTCCATGCTGCTTTTTTCAATAAACACAGAACAACTGCAGGGATAAAAACTGCTCCATCTGTTCATGAACATAATTCCTCTGTTTTCTGTTTCCAGCTCATCCTTGCCACATGGGAAGGCGGCTACAACTTGCAGTGCCAGAACCTCCACAGTGCAGGGGAGGCTGATATCCGGGTGAGAGACAGCAACAGCTCAGCCCTCAGCATCCACAGCAATCCTTCCCTCCATGTCCCTGATGCAACACCTCTGCATTCAAGGAGGTTATAAGGATGCTATCAGTAACACCTTTAACATGAGCATTTCAATCCTGTTGGCCAATAGCTGGTAGAGAACAAGTAGTGTAACCTTTTGATTCAATATAGGCGCATTCTTGCAGTGGAGAGCACAACAGGAAATATTTTGAAAAGCCACATATCAAGACCTGTAGTCAAAACAGTATTGCTTGACTATTTAAACAGATAATTAGATCCTTTAAAAACTTTGAACAAAGATAAAAGATCTCAAAGGTAAGTCTTGTTGGATTGTACCTGGACAGTGATTTAAGCCCAGCTGTAAAATCTGGAAACCTGCAGAGACATTTTGCTGGCTTGTCTTGTCTCTAGTTTCAGCCTTTATTTCTGCATCACAGCAATTCCCTGTATTAACCTTCTGTCATTCCCCATATCAGGTTTATTTTCCAGATGACATTAGAGCTCAAGGGCAGAAAGATTGGTTAACTTATACAATTTCTTCCAACCCTTAAAATTTGCCTGTGTTATGGCAAGGAAAAGGTCAGTTAAATATCTTTTCCCATCAACAAGGTGTTTCCCCCCTTTCTATCTGTCTTTAACTGTCCTAGGACATATCCTGAACTCTGATAAAATGTCTCTGCTCTAGAGGAAGATATATTTCATTATATTGAGTATTGAATTTAGATTTTTAAGAAGCTAGCAGCAAAATCTGTTCAGTGCCAAAAAAACCACAAATGGTAGCATCCTTAAAAAAATAAACAAACAAACAAAGACAAACAACAAAACACAAAAAAAACCCCAAACCTAAAAAACCCATAACCCACAAAACTTCACCTTTGAAAAAGAAAAACCCTGAACAATTAGAAAACGCTGCTTCCTCAAAGTTTATGTTTCTTAAACTATATTTTGATAATCATGTATTTATACAATCATATAAAAGATGTGCAGGTTTTTTTCAAAACTGCTCCACTGAAAAGCGAAATAAAATTGAAGCCAGAGCTCATGCTTCTCCATCAATAGCATATTAATGCCTTCTGAGAAGTTGCATGCCTAGGGACTGAAGAAGTACAATAATACTTAAGCTCTTGTATGGACAGATATTGATTTCCTGCTCCTTTGTTCTTGCTTGTACAGGTAGCCAAGGTGCTGTGGTGGTATTATTTTTCCAAAGTAATTGAATTCATGGACACTATCTTCTTTGTACTGAGAAAGAAAAGCAGCCAGATCACCTTCCTTCACGTGTATCACCATGCCACTATGTTTAACATTTGGTGGTGTGTTCTGAACTGGATACCTTGTGGGCAAAGTAAGTGTTTGTTTCTTAACCTGAGGTATAATTTGGCTGTGGCTGGAGGGGAATCACATCACCGTGCAAAGGAAGTGTGTCACTGTGTGATGTGATAGCACCTTTAAGGTTCTCAGCCTTTCTGAACTGCTGATCACCTGCAGACTGCAGTAAAATTAAAAGGATGGTTAAAAGTTCAGGCCAAAAATACCTGAGTGTTAGGCCCTAGATTTTCCACTTAGCCACCACAACCTCTCATATTTACTTCTCTCCAAACCACTTTTAAGCACAACATGACTGAGTAGTGCACAAGAGTGATCACATACAAGACCTACTCCAAAAGCTTATGTAGGGAGGAATCATGATCCTGGTAAAGTCGGTATCAATCACAACAACTGCTATCAATAGCGCTTTTACAGGTTTGACACCTGTATGCATCAATCTGACACTCTGCTTTAGCAGGATACTTTACTTGCTAATCACTAATTAAAATACCAGTTTGAGTTTGTTCTGTTTTATGTGAGAACACATCTCATTCAGGCAGTAAAACCACTGGCTAGCCAGAAGTGATCAATACAGCCTAGTATTCCATGTATAAATAGCAGCATCCTTTTCCTTATTGTATTTTGGGTTAAAAATATTTCACAAAAGTAATCTCTAAACTGCTTGGCTCTTAGAAGGATACTGTAATTGTCATAATTTTCCCTGTTGAGGAGGGTAAGATGTATGGTGCCACAGACTGGTCACCTGGCATTTGTGTGAGTCCAAACAGCAGGGAACTACTTCAGCTCTCTCACAACATGCACACTTTTCCCTGCCCTCACACCGCATCCTGTGGCAGGTATTGTAGAGTTGAGAAGAAAAACAGTTTTTCTGTCAAGCTACTAAAGGGAGTCACCTCAATCTGTTGTAATATTTTGTAAAGAAACTTGTTGCAGGTGTTTTTCAGAACCAAAAGCAGAATTCATGTTTGTTGTCACTTACTATAGGCAAAATCAAAGTAAACCACTGTTACAGGTAGAAGCAGAGATCAAGGATTTCACAGCAAATCTAGGAATAGGAGCTATTTCTAGAGGTCTAAACAAATTAATGGGGTGTTGTGTTTTCTAATGTGTCTGAATCTGGTTCCCACACTTTGCACTAGGTTTGTATTACTCTAATTATGGGACTGAGAAATCATTAGCTAAGTAATTAATCAGTGGAGAAATCTTGTTGCAGCACTGCCATCAAACCCATGAGCATACAGCAGACAGAGTAATGCTGCTACTTCTCTGTAGTCTGTAAAGTACAGAGGGTAAATAACTTGCCCTAGAACTAGTATTCACTAGGTGTAGCTAATAAGAGCAGCAAGATATAATCTGGGATGAAATTCTTGCAAATCTGCATCTAGCAGAAAAGTCATTGAAGAAAACGAACAATGCTCAAACACAGCCACAAAGGAGCTAGTTTAATTCAGAACAAAGCCCTTGCTCACTGTATCAGAGTGCAGGAGCATGGGTGCCTCCCAGGACCTTAAGCTGCCATACTGGCAGCAAAGTCATCCACAGCAGTGTCTAAAGCTTAACCAAATAATTGGTAGACTCCCAGCAAGAAGAAGGTTGAGAGGGAAATTAAAAAATAACCTGTAAACTACAGGATAGAAAAAAAGTGTAGGAGAAGAAAAATATGGGATAAAAATACAATAGTCAGCATAAGAAAAAACCTGTGAGAAGTATCATTCAGTTTGTCAGTTGTCCCTAGCATCTCTACGTATCAGGAATGTCTTTAGCAAGGGAGAAGCATGAAAGGAATACTTAACCATATGCAAGAGACGTCACAAGCAATAACATCTTCTCTCGCTTTTTAGCAGTTGGTATATAAAAAATTTTTTCCCTGATGGATTTTTATAGGCTTCTTTGGACCCACTTTGAATAGCTTTATCCATGTGCTTATGTACTCTTATTACGGACTGTCAGTCATCCCGTCCATGCGCAAGTATCTCTGGTGGAAGAAATACCTCACTCAGGCACAATTGGTATGTATCTATTTTACTTTCAATTGAGCTACCAGAAATCCTTCAAAATGTGAAAGGGAATGAAATTAACTATAAAAAAACATTGTTATTTACAGAATTATAGAATGGAACTATCATACAGCATAAGTCACTAGTGCAGCCTGACATAACTTAATAAAGGAAATTGTGTTCAGAAATTATTTCTACCATACAGTAGAAACCCCTCAGTCCACAAAATGCTGTTATTTTTGAACTCTTGAGTAGAAAATTACTGCTTCTTAACCACAGAAAAACTGATTTAAACTGATTTAAAAGTGATAAAAGCCATCTAACAGAGCCACCTCCAGCCACAGCTCCAAGACCTTTGATCCCTTGGGATTTTTTTAATTTCCTAAGAGTGCCATTTTAACCTAACCCTTACAATACATTCAGAGGTTAGAAAGGCATTGTTTTCAAGAGTACTCAAACTTTCAAAGAGCAGGACTAGTGGACATTGCTGCATCTGATTTAGCTAGCACTAACCCTTTCTCAGCAAATAGTCATGCATAATCTTCCCTCCACAGATCCAGTTTCTGCTCACTATTGTGCACACACTTAGTGCAGCTGTGAAGCCATGTGGGTTCCCTTTTGGCTGCCTCATGTTCCAGTCCTCCTACATGGCCACACTGGTCGTTCTGTTCATAAACTTTTACATTAAGGTAAGCACTCTTCCAAGAGGTCTCTGACAGGACTGGGGAAAATAAAACTTTTTGGATAGCAGCATTGATAGACTCAGATGTAGAATGAGCACCAGGACTTAAAATCTGTTTGTATTAAAATATATGTCACTTAATGATGGATACAGTAGTGCCTATGAGAGAGTTATTCAGTAATGACCTCCTCATTGCAGCTCAGCTCTTCTGCACTTGTATAACAAGTCAGGTACCACATTCAGTACTTAGGAGATTTGAATTTGCTTTGTTGGATAACTTTTTGAGTCTTTGTCCCTCCTTAGAAAAAAAGAAACAAACAACTCTGTGTTGTTTACTTCAACCTCGTTTAGCAGAGACTGTTCCAGCCTGCCTGAATACGTAGAGCTTTTAGTTTAAAGGCTTGAAATTTCTTTTGACATCAAGTATTACAGTAGTACTAGTAAAGTAACATCACCCACAGCAATGAAAAGGGCACAGTGCCCTTAGTGCAGTCTGAAGCAAATATATACATCTGCGTCAACAAACACCAGACAGCTCCATTTACAGTTAACCATAAGTAGTGTTTGGGGAGGGCACTAAATAAATCCAAGTGTTTACTTTGGATTTTGCTTTTATAGACATACCGGAAGGCTCCTTCAAGAACAGCTATAAAGGAAACCCCTATCACAACAGAAATCAAGAATGGTTTTCATAAGGACTACTTTGCTGCTGTCAATGGATTCCAGAACAATAAGAAGGCACAATAAGTGTTTCCTATGATCTTTTTTCCTAAAAAAAGAAAAAAAAAAAAAGAAGAAAAAAGACTGAATTACAAACTTTAGCTTAAAACCTATTTGATTACATTTATCAGTTCTTTGTACCAGACACTTATTAATGTACTGTTATTTAGGTTTTAACAAAGTGAGTAGGATTACTTGTCAAAGATCACCATCAGAACAAAGAAAGCCAAGGTCTTTCTCATATGAAAAAGAAAACCTTTCTGATCTCTAATGCTGACACAAAAACGCCTTATGAAACACTTGATGGATAAATCCATCAATGCCTTCAAAAGGTTAGGACTCTATTCAGACTAACACAGTGAGCACTTTCTGTGCACGTGAGAGGTGGCCAAGGTCAGGAAAATAAAGAGGGCAGAGAGAAAGGTGAGAATCATACCTTTTCCATCACCATACCCCTCTTTTCTTCTTCCCAGCCATTCCCCAAAGCACATTCTCTCCCTGTAGATACCAGCAAGGAGCCCTTTGATCCTGTGGGAGGCCTAGGGAAGAACATGACAGAGAGCAGAGCCCAGGACCACCATCCCATAGTTAACAGACACATGTGCACCACACTCAACTTGCTTGACATATGTGCAACCTGACTGAAATGCCAGGAAGGCTGGCAGAAGCTTGCTATTTCAGGGGGCTGGACTGGTAGCCCTTGGAACTACCCACAGTATCCTATTCTGAACACAGAGCAAAACAAGTCACTTTGGATGCACTAAATTAATAGGAGTTCTGAGTAAATGGATGTTGAAAGAAATAGGAGCTTAGCGACTTAAGGAAGATAAATCCTCTGAGTGTAAATGCGTACAAGTTAATCCTATACAAACACTGCTAATTTGAAGCAAACTGACATGCAACATATTAATAGGCTGGAAGATGCAGAAAATCTTAAAAGTGGATTGAGCAATGAACAAAGCATATTATACTAAGGTCTCTGACTGGAGAAACAGATGGGACTGAGGCACAATCCTCTGTAGGGAAAGCAAGGAGATACTTACTGTCTGCAGTTATAAAAGCGTCTCTCTCACAACAGCCTGTCACATTCCATGCTGCTTCAGTTAGCTGTATTTTCCCCTCCCCACCCCTTGAATGGTTAGAAATTAAGAATACCCAAGGTTGACATTGTAGATCTGCCCTCACCCTTTTCTCACTTAGCCCACTCCATTTCTCTGCTGAAAATAAACACAGACCTTTTTCCTCTCTCATTTTTTCACAGTGAAGTAACTGTGGTCACTTCCATTCTCATTTGTATAAATTCTCTCAAAAAAAAGCCACCTGCCAAAGTCACCCAGCCCAGGATACCCCTTGGAATGAAGCAGTTCTAGAACAGAAACTCATCCTCTCACTCCTGTCACCTTGAAGGGTCCCAGGGCAGGAGGGGAACAAACTGCACGCACAGCCAGCACAGAGAGACCAAAAGGCCACAGAGGGCCTATGTGTGGAGGAGGATTTCCCAAACTGTGCTCTCCAATTCTTTTCCACTTCTAGAGGGTCAGTTATCCCCTTTTTTGATACCATCATTTAAATGATCTGTCATCAGGGGCTCTTGAAGACTGCAGGTGCAAAGACAGGAGGAAGGTTTTTCCCAGGGAGCAGTACGGACAAAGGGCAGCCAACCTTGCCAGGAGCAGCCTGAGAAACTACAGCCATGCAGGCTCACAGACAAAAAGGAAAAGGGCTGAGGAAGTGGTACAGCACAGGGGGAAGAACAGACAGGTTGGTTTGTCCAGGAAAAGCAAGAGGAGAAAATGGCATGAAGAAGGGTGTTTTGGGTCAGAGTTCAGTTTGAATGTGATAGCCACAAAACTTCACTGTCTGAAAGTCAGTGTTTTGCTTTATTTAACATTCAATAAAGAGGGAAAGCAGCAATTTAAAAAAAAAAAAAAAAGATTCACAAAGCCTGAACACTGCATGCATATACTATTTCTCATTAGCCTTTCCAGAACCTTTGCTTTGCAGGCCTTTCTGGTTGATACTGTAAAACTCCCAAGCTGTAAGAAATTTGTGGGTGTTGCTGAAGGTGTTCTACATGGCCAAAAGTAAAGGGAAAGCTTCAGGGCTCTGCAGATATCAACTTGATACTGGAAACTGGGGTAAAGGCAGAGGACTTGGAAAGGGCTGACAAGACAGTGCATTCATCTAAGGCAGGCAACAAAAGGGTCATGTGGCCGAGCACAGATTTTAGGTTGAGTGGAGTCCATAATCTTTTGATGGCAAAGCGTGCATTTGACTATCAAGGTGAACAGCATCAGCACACTAAGTGTCAAAGTTTACTAGAGCAATCAAACCCACAGATATTGTCTTTTTTGTTGTTGAAACCTCATTCAAAAGAAAAGGAAATAAATAAATGCCTTACTTGAAATTCAAAGGGCTGGGGAAAAAAAAAAGAAAAAAGAAAAAAAAAAAAAAAAAAAGGAAAAAAACCTGAGGTGGTCTCACCTTGCAGATCCAGAGCAGCCAGGAAGGCTGGAATCAGGTATGTTTTAAAATTCTTGAGATAAGTCTTAACATCTTCAAAATGCCGCAACTTTGAAGAAAGAGAAGCGTTGACTTTTTAAACTGATTTTCCTGTAACACATAACACTGTAAATAAACAAATTTTACTATCAGGCTGTCTCCACTCCTCTTTAAGGCATCAGATTGCTGGAAAGTGGTTATTTGAGGCTGCTTTTTCAAACTGTTTGAGACGGTTTTCTCAAACTTTTTGAGGAAGTTCTTAGGACATTCACTTCAGTCCGAGAAACAGCCTCGACAACTTTACACACCATCTTTACTGGTGTTCATGTAAAGCTTCCCTGTAGTTTTTGTCCCGCTACCACTAAAAACTTGGTTTTCGAACAAAGGTAATACTGCAATAACTTGTTTGTTCAAAGGTTGTACTTACCTATCAAGTCATCCTTTATTTCTCAGATTGCTTTTAGTTGGAACCTGGTGATACTAAACAGAGGAGAGACAATGAAGAAATCAATCTCAAAAATAACCCTTCTTTCAGCTTGAGAATACAAACGTGGGAAAAGAGATGCAAACACTTGATCCTTCTAGTTTGGGCTCACCAAAGGGTATATATGGGGGGAAAGGGAAGTAAAGGAGAAAGCTACTGAGTTTGATTCACTGTTTTTGGATGTTAGTGACTTCCCAATCTGAATCATGGGTCATTTACCACCACCACGTGCGACCCTTAGAACACTTCCATCAGCGCTGCCTCCATACGATCCTAAACATCCACTGGACTGACTATGTGACCAACACGTCTGTCCTTGAACAGGCAGCAGTCACAAACATTGAGGCCATGCTGCTGAGAACACAGCTGCGCTGGGCAGGGCACGTCTCCAGGATGCAGGACTACCGCCTCCCTAAGATTGTGCTCTATGGGGAACTTGCCACTGGCTGCCGCAAGAGAGGAGCCCCGAAGAGAAGATACAAGGACTCCCTGAAACAATCCCTCAGCCTTGGCCATATTGATCATAACCATTGGTCTACCCTGGCCTCCAATCAGGAGGCCTAGAGACACACCATCTATAACGCTGCTGCTGCTTTTGAGAACACACGCAGGATCACTCTCGAGGAGAAAAGACAACGCAGAACGAATCGTGTCTCATCGATATCACCTGGGGAGTCTTTCTGCTGTGCCTTCTGCAACCGGACTTGTCTATCTCACATTGGCCTTTTTAGCCATCAGCGTGCTTGTAGCAAGCATGGATAGAGCCCTTCTCAAATCTTTGTTCGTGAAGCCTAGCCATGATGATGACTTCCTAAAGGAAGAGGAAGAAGGAATGAGCTTTACTGAAGACCAATCCGGGAACATTGAAATGAAAGAAGATAAATCCAATTGCTGTAGAGTGCCAAGACTCATTTCTACAAGGTTTCTCTCACAGTCTGATTTTCAGTAGCACTTTCTCAACTCTTCCTCACGATAAACAAAAGTCACCCTGTAATGTATGACCAGCTTGCTGTGTTTGGCTCCAGTATACAAGAGCTCTCAGCTGTTCATAGAAACATGTCTATTTTCCAGTGCACTACTCCTTTAGACACAGTCTAAAAGACACAGTCCTACTCCTTGCAGAAGTAGGACTGTTCCAGTGTGCTCCAGTCAACATCAGCACAACTTACTGAGAAGCAGGGCAAGCTGTTCCGAGGTCGGGGCAAACACAGACACACAATTCCTCTGCCTGTTTCCAGCCACACAGGACATCCTTTTCTCTGGCTTTGAGCAGCCTTGACACTAGGTAACTGTAGCCCTCCAGACCTTGGATGGACCATTGCGCTGGTACAGACTGTGTAGGTAAACAAGCACTTGGCACAGCATCACCCCCTTAAAGAGGTACAGCATAAAGATACCAGGGGTTATAACCAGTTTAATATTTAACTCTGTTAAGAGCTTAAAATGCATAAAGCAGTTGTCCTTAACGTGCACTTTGTATTTCTCGGGGGTTTTTTTCCTGATGCACACTTTTTTGCATCTCAGGATCCACATCCTCTTTGTTGTTCTGGCTCAGAAGTGTTAAGGAAACTGAACAGGTTGAAAGCTGAGCTATATCTATTTGCACTGAAAGAAAGAAAATAAAAGAAACACCTGGATTAATAACACTCTTAAAAGTGTAAGCGAGAAAGCAAAGGAAACCTGGCCAAGGTCAACTGCCTGCCTTCCAAAAGGAAATATGGTAACCCAGTTACAGGTCTGTCATAGAAACCAAATTACCACTTTAGACCTTCAGCAGGTTTAGGCTCAAACATGCTTAATGGACCCAACAATGCAGGAAGCTGTATGAGATGGACTGTTCAAGGTCAGAAAAAGCCATTCCTGTCCCAGATGTTGTCTCCAAACAGTACTGCTACTGACTACAAATGGAAAGACTATCAGTAAACTCCAAATTTTTCACCTCCGGCAGTTTACAGGTTACCAAGCTGGAACTCACTGAGCTCAAAAGCTGAAATGTTTCATATAAAGGCATAGACACCTTCTACTCCTGCAGTTCTCTTAAGAGAACTGCAGGAGTAGAAGGTGTCTAAGTGGTATGACATCCCATTCTGCCAGCACACATGAAGAGGGAGGAAATGTAGCAAAACAAGGGTTGCTACACACTACTTTGTTGTGCTGACAGCTTAAATGTTTAGCAGTTTGAACTTAGAGAACAATGAATCCAAACACCTCAGATACGGAAAAAACCAATCATTATTGTGGTTTGAAAAGAAAATTAAAATAAACCTGAAAAAAGAGAGAACGTTAAACCAGAGGGACACATCCCATCCCACCCTCTTCCTATTTCAAACCTTCCCCTTGGAGATGTAGATGAGCCAGCCCTAAAGAGGCCAAGGCAACATCCACCCCAAAGATGATGACACATGCCCCAGGGGTGTGAATTCTCAATTTTCAACACTGTTTCTGTGGCTTTGCAGAATTCAGTATATAAGAACATCCACAATATGGCCAGCTCATCTCAATTCATAGGTCTAGTTCTCATCAAACACCTTAATAGACCTGGTTGCATCATCACATTTGGCCAGGTAATGAGAAATAAAACCATGGAACATAGACATTTACGTGGGAACTACTAGAAGGCTCACCTTGGTACTGGAAGCAACATTACAAAAGGCATCCCTTTACTTTCATTAGTGAGAACTCTGGTTGACAATAAGAAGCAAGAGGGCAGTTCAAGCCTTATCACACCCCTAGGGCTAGGACCTTGCATGACTACTCAGGTAGTAAGAGCCACAAATTTAGGGCCAGGTACAGCCAGGCAATAGGAAGACCTGCTCGGATTATTCAGGCTGATATCTTAAAGCCTATTTTGATTAATGTCACTTCTGGTAGCACCACAGCATACCGACACACTAGTGGGACAGAACATGCTGAAAATTCTGCTACTGGGATGCCAAACTAAAGAGTTTTACCAGACAAGAGCAGAGCTGTTCACAGAAGTTAATGTTTCATCTTCCAAAAGTCACTGTGGCTGAGTGCTTTGAGAGCCTAGATTCAAAGAGGAGCTGTAAAGACTTTTTAAAGACATTGAGAAGCAGCAGGAGGATGCAGCAGAGTCAGGGCCAGACCGCAAAGAAACAAATGCAAATTAGAGAATGTGAAATCAGGGTTACAGCCTTTAACATTGTGAATAGGAGAGGGTAGACCAGTGGATCTGGAGCTTTGGAAAGGGCAGGGTTGAAGCAGTCTTTTCTTTTAAACCATCCCAGAAAGAAAGCACCAACCACTCCTTGATGTGGATAAACAAATTTCATCTCATGCCAACTCCAGTCAGGAGTACTTAAGCTAAAGGAATAAGCATAAAATGGTAAAGCAAGAGCAACAGTAGCTTCTTGCTGTTCTCTGTGCAGGTGCTACCCTGCATGACCTTGTCAAGAAGGAACAGCATCACCCTGCTCTTTCAGGGGTGAAACAAACCCCTGTCAGGGTTTAGGCTTTTGTTATGAAAGTACATTGCGTGCAAGGGATGACTCCCTCCACTCTGAGGTTGGTTTATAGGGTAAGCAGATAGAAACCCAAAGCTTGGAAACATGGCATGTTCCCACAAATTCATTACGGTGCCCTAGCACTAATGCTGTGTCTGCAACAGTGTGTGAAGAGCAATATCATCTGGGGAACTCTGTCAAAGCATAGAACAATATTAAAGAGCATAGTTTATCTGTTCTTGCTTTCAAGAGATTTTATTGGTATTTTGTCTAGGAAAAGCTATGCCTAACACATCCCATGCAAGGTACACAGGACTCCAGAGTCCCTTTCCAGACATGCACAGTGCATCATTTTGAAGGAAACAAGACTGTTATTCTATGCAAACAATATTTTACTTAGTACCAATCATCAGAACACTTAAAGTAAGGCAGTATATCCATCCGTTTGGTGGCCAAATCATTATCTTTAGATAATTTTTAAAATTTCTTTTATATTTAATGGACCCATATTGCAATTTTTCAGAAAAAGTTATCAACACAGAGATCATAACTGGATCACTTAACAGTGTATATTCTTCTTAGAAAAAAAAAAAACACCTCAACGTTGATGGTTTTTCCTCCCCTTTTTTTCTTTCCATTTAAAATAAATTGACATCCTTCACAGAACTATCTTCTCTGTGCTGCATACACAAGGTGCTCAAATTTTAAGAGCAATAATGAATTCAGGGGTTTGCTAGTCAGAAGAAATGACAAACACATTGCTTTCTTCTGCCTTCTTCACTGGGTGTTCATGCTGCAGGGAAGAACAAAATAAAGGGTAAGAAAGCATTTCAAAAGTTTGTGCAAACATTGAAATAGTACAAGGTAAGAAACTGCAAAAGGTCCTGGAGGCACATTTAGACTCAGCTTTTAATTCTCAAGCACCTACCCTCAAACAAGTGCTGCAGGATAAGCAGCTCCCATGACATGTTTGCCCCTTTCTCAGCCCTGCTCTCTTTCAAAGTGTCCTTCTCCAGGAGCACCTGTGTCCCTCAGCAACTCAATGCTCATAATGGAAACTTTTCCCTTTGGAAAGGCTCAGGATTCCAGCTTTAATAGCTAAAAGAAACAAGCCATTGTTTTTCAGCATCTTTTCTAAAATGCCATGCCCAGTGCACTGGGGTGACCACCATTGTTCCTTCAACACAGGGAGTTTTCTTCAGTC